GTACTTTTCTACCAATTGGGCAATTTTTATCGAATTTTCGTTTTTTTTTGCTTAAAATTTTTTGTGTCTATATAAAAACACATTTCCGCGTGAATTTCACAACAAACGTTGATGAAAGGCACAAAATACGTAATTTGTTCAGTTTTCAGGGACTCTCAAGCTATTGATGTTTCCTAACTTTGGCGGCCATTCTCTCATTAATTTAACTACTGAAACCGGGCTACCCCACCTTCTTCAATGGCAAATATCTGAACTCCTTTCTAGCTAGAGGAAGATGGATGTTTTTTCACTGAAATCAAAGCAAATAATTAGGCTTTTAGATGATGCCAAAATGCCACAAGCCCCAAAATTGACGCGCGCCTGATTTCACCATGCTGCCTCACATATAATATGACTCGTATATATATATATATATATATATATATTGTCTGCCAGCTGTTCAGATGTACAAGGCCCCAGATTTTGAAATAAAAAAAAAATAATTGTAGTTTCTTACTTATCTACAGTATCGGTAGCATGCCCTTGAGACGTATCATATTTCGTCGAAATCCAAATTCCAAATGTTGATGAAAAGAAAGAAAATGTACGTTATGGAGGTAAAATTGTTTAAAGTATATACATTTTTTTCTCTCCAGAAAACATTTTCCTATGAGTTTGTATAGCTAGCTGGCAGTATTGTCTCATATTGCCTACTTAGATATAAGTTCTAAAGTCATAATGCCCACAAAAAAACAAACAAAACAAAAGCAACAACAAAAACTCAGCTGGTTGCCTGCTACATACAATTACAAAAGGCCAAGAAACCCTGCTCCTACCCACAGACTAGCTGTCCCCGTGGTTTTATGCATCCCGCATAATTTGATCATTTTTTGCATAATTTCTGATTATTTTCCTTTATCATTCTTTGTTAAAAATTAACAGAATCGCATAATTTCATATTTTTGGGGCTCAGTTTGCATAATTTCAGAATTTTTTTTGCATAAAACCGCGGGGACAGGACTAGGGTAAGTAAACAGGTCAGGAGAGAAAGTACTGTTGAGAATTTCACAAACGGTTCTCTTCCCCAGGACTCTTTTAATCTCTTTTTGGTAAAATATGAAGGCGTTGATTCAGTAAAATATATCATCATCAAACACAGATTATAAAGTCTTACCAACAAAAGAGTGTGTAGTGGTGGAGCGGTTAGTGCGCTCGTGTCCGAAGCGGAAAGTTCAGGTTCGAGCCTCGGTTCGGACACAGATTCCCCCCCCCCCCCTCTTGCCCACCCAGCAGTAATGGGTACCTGGTTTCGAGTTGGGGAAGTAAAGGCGGTGTGGAAAGGAACTGGCCACCCTACCACAATATACCAAAGGCCCAGGAAGTTGTCTCACTAACAAGGCAATCCCCAATGTCCCGATCAGATGTGAGAACAACTTTTTTTTACCAACAAAAAGCCATTCACTGTTGACTCTTATCTACCTTTCAAGCAACATGACAACATTTGTTACAATCATCAATCACGCTTGTTACTTTCCTTGGCCTGGTGTGGAAATTCTCACGGATGTACTTTCTTTTGGCAGGTCGTGTGCCTGTAATGAATTAAACTAATGCAACACCAGAAGTGCTGACAAGGCAGATTAAATCCAATTCATCCATTAGCAAAGATCTTTTTTTCGTTTTTAGTTTTAGTAAGAGTTTTACAGCACTTGCAACACAATAAGGTCATACAAGCGCTGAAGATTAGAGGTGTTACAAGAGAGCAACAAACACAAAAAAAGAAGGAGGGGAGATAAGGAAGATAGTTGTTTGATAGGAAAGAAGGAACAAACCACACCAGAGCACCCGCCAACCACCCACCGTGTGCCTGTAATGAATTAAATTAATGCAACACCAGAAGTGAAAACAAGGCGGATTACATCCAATTCATCCATTAGCAAAGATCAGAAACACAAAGGTCCATGGCCTGCGACTAATAACGATGCCAAAGCCTTGTTATAAAGTCTGGCTGACTGCTTTAAAATTTAAACTTTCTTCATGTCGTGCGTGAACTGCATTTTCCAGATCTAATAACAATAATAATAATAATAATAGATAGCATTTGTATAGCGCATATCCCCACTCAACAGCAGGCTCTATGCGCTTTACACTATATTATTACCCCAGCAGACCATAGAACACTCCAAAACATTCTCAGCTTCCCGGGAAGCATACAGTGCAAGCAGCTGTTTAAGCGCTCAAACACTAACAAACTGACAAGATCTTTCGCTGTCTATAGCCGGGTACCCATTCCCACCTGGGTGAAGTGAGGAAAATTCGTGTAAAGTGCCTTTCCCAAGGACACAAAGTCGGGTCTCTGGCGGGATTCGGACCCACGACCTTACGGTTGCTAGTCCGAGAGCCTAACCATTAGGCCACCGACGCCGATCTACAAATTCTCAGGTACCTTTCTCCACTCACGAGATGTCTGACTCATTATACGCATACAAAACCATTACGTTGTGCTCAGACGACATTTTTCTTGGAACTTTCCCAGAGGAAATTCATTTGAGATATATAAATTTATAATAAATGGTCACTTTTAAGGGGTAGCGGGTTAACCTAGATTTCGGGGGTTTCCAGAAATCTTGACCTACACCAAAAGTGGGCATTGCCCTACCTATAGGAGAAGTTTGGTTTCATTGGTGAGTATATTTGTTTGGTTATTGAGAAAAACTCTCCTTGTTTTTTAAAGAAACTGAACAAGGGGCAAAAACTTTACCATCGAGTTTCTCAAAACAGCATTTTTCGGGATAGCCCCCTGTGCTTAAAAGCGACCATATTTTTCTGCTGTTGTCTCAACTCTCTTTAACTCTATCAGTACTTCGTGTTTTACTATCATATCCACACGAAGTGGGGAACTCTGTGCCACCACTTAACCCTATCCGTACGTCGTGTTTTACTATCGTATCCATATGACTTAGGGAACTCTATGCCACCACTTTCCAAAGAGGAAATTTAGTCGTTAATCCGATCTGTTCGCTTTGCATAGCCATAGCATTTTTTGAGAAATACTGAAAGTTTCAGAGATTTTCTTACTAAAAGTATTCTGAAATGTGAAGAATACAACCCGCGGGGTACAAAATGACCCCAGGGCGAATAGGGTCAACCCTTCCAGCCCCAGCCATTTTTTTGCACTACCTAACCCCGGTCCCAACCAATACAGCAGAATTTTCAGAAAAAGAGGCATGCATTCTAAAAGGTGATTCAGTATCTTGTCTTTATAATGAGGTTTAGACGTTTTTTCCATGAAACCACACATAAGAATGTTCTCGAACGGACACACAAGGTGCTGAGACAAAAAACAAAAAATTCGAATAAAAATTCCAAACCGGCCGAAAAATGATGATTTCTTCGATTTCACTACCATACTTTGACGAGCCCCTGATTTCACCACGTTGCCTCACATATTTGCTCAGCATGTCTGATGCCATTCTCATTCCAGCCATACATTTGAACACATCAAATATTCACAGGCAAATATTTCGCAACATTCCTAATGCTCTCTCACATAAACATTCCATCTCTTCATCAGTGTGACATTCTCTTGCTCTTAACCAGTTATAAACACTTGAAGAGCACAGAGGAAAAATGACGGTAGTCACAAACTGGAAATTGTGAGGGTGCCAAATTTAAAAGCTCGTAGACTCATAACTTCAGATTTGTTTGACTGATGGTTTATTGTTAAGTGTTGTTGAATGGGAAATCTAACAACAATAATCGACCAACAGTTGAACAGAAATACAGTTAGGAGTCAAACAAGCGTTCAAAATTGATACCCTCACAATTTTCAGTTTGTGACTACCGTCGCTTTCCCCCTGTAGTCTTCACTTTCTTCACATGTACCAAAATGCGTGCTATTTTAGAATAGTTTTTTTACTAATGCGTATGATGAACTCAAGTTGGCCCTTGGTCGACTTTCTTCCACACAATCACACCCACACACAAACAAATGTAACATCTTATCTACAGTTCTAAAATACTGTACACGAAATCTGTCTGTCAGTCCATCTAATTGCCTTAAAGCACACTCACACAAACACACGTAACCACAAACACACACATCTCATCACTCGCACTGTAAGACGCACACCCCAACTCAAGCTTAAACAGTGGTGTCGGTGACCTAGTGGTTAGGCTCTCAGACTCGAAACCGTAAGGTCTTGGGTTCAAATCCCGTCAGGGGCTCCGACGTTGTGTCCTTGGGAAAGGCACTTTACATGAATTTTCCTCACTTCACCCAGGTGGGAGTGGGGGTACCCGGCTATAGACAGTGAAAGATCTTGTCAGTTTGTTAGTGTTGGAGCGCTTAATCAGCTGCTTGCACTGTATGCTTCCCAGAAAGCTGAGAATGTTTCGGAGTGTACTATGGTCTGCTGGGGAAATAAGGTAGTGTAAAGCGCATAGAGCTTGCTGTCGAGCAGGGATATATATGGGAAATACAAATGCTATTTATCATTGATTATTAACCTGCTCTAACGGCCACCTTTCCATGACACTCACTTGAACGAGCGACCACTTCCTCTCTTGCATTTTAAAAAAAACAACATATTGACACTGTTCACAACATTCCGCAGTTTTTGGGACACCTGAATAGACAAAAAGGTCTTGAAGATCTAGCTCTCACTGACAAAATTGAAGGCAAACGAGGCAGGGGTAGGCCCAGAGCAACATACTTAGGGAACCTTAATGAATGGGTAATGGGGAAAGACCAGGGAAACGTAGCTTTTTTTAAGAGCACCCGAGCAAAGGAATGAATGGAGAACCATGATGGCCGATGTGTTTGTTTTAGTAAGAGTCTTACGGCACTTGCAACACAATAAGGTCATATAAAAGTGCCAAAGATTAGATATGTTACAAGAGAGTAACATACACAAAAAAGAAAGAGGAGATATAAGAACGGTAGATGTTTGATAGGAAAGAAGGAGCAAAACACACCAGAGCACCCGCTCGCCGACGTCTTTCGAAGATCTGGCACTGGATGATGATTGATGATTGACGTTGTCTAAGACAACCAATTTTCTCCTTGACAATGGTTGACAGTCTTGGACAATTTCGAATGTAAAAATATCGTCTATCATGCATGCAATTTTTTCTCACAAAACAAATACTCACACTACCCTGCACAACATACGCACCATCGCTCACACACACACACGCACGCACACAAACTTTCCACACACACCTTCCACACAACAATCTTGACCACATTTTCTTGCATGGCTCCTCTCCACCTGTTAGCTCATCTCCTTTTCTTCACAGCTGGCTTTTTCGACTTGCTGCTGTCCCAGCTGAGGACAAGGGAAACAAATGTCAGAAAAGTTCACAGCTTAGTCAGAGCTACCAGACAGAACGTTCTCACATTTTCAGAGGCACATTCACTCCATGTATCCATTTACTGGTGGGGGGAAAAAGAGCAAGAAAGACCGACAGAAACAACTACCATTCACTCCATGTATCCTTAGTTTTAGTTTCGGTAAGAGTTTTACGGCACTTGAAACACAATAAGGACATGTAAGTGCTGAAGATTAGAGCTGTTACAAGAGAGTAACAAACATAAAACAGAAGGAGCAGAGATCAGGACGATAGAAGTTTGATAGGAAAGAAGGAGCAAACCACACCAGAGCACCCGCCAACCACCCACTTAGAATTACCATTGCCATGTTCACACTTAAAAACTCCAATTAGAACACATACAGAGATAGGTCTTGATGTATATATATATATATTTTATAGTAGAGGGTTTTACGGCGCTCGCAACTGCATAAGGTCATATGAGCGTCAAGGGGTGGATGTCAACAGAGAAGTCTTTACAGGGAATCAGACTTAGACTGCTCACCTCTCTAGCTTCAACAGCACAAGGTCTGCTTCGACTATCAACGCACCCCAAAATACCAGGTCACAAGGGAGTGACAAACATACGAAAGAAGTAGAGGAAAAATGACAATAGTAAGGATCAGGAAAGAAAAAGCAGCAGTTCCCTGTTGTAGACCAGGCACAGTTATGAGCGTGACATGAATCAGCCCATTTACAATTCTACTATGCTTGAACGAGAAATGTCCCCCCTTTGGGAATGGCCTAAAGACACTACAGTCAGTGGCACTGCCCCGGGGGGTCGTCTCGATGTATGTGTATAAATATTCATAAATATATAAAGGTACATAAATATGTTTTATTGTAAGACATAAAATGGAAAAAAATCCCCAAACTACTCACTCAAACAAATCCTGATTTCTTTTATCTTCCATTCGTTGTCGATTTTCTTCCTGAAAAAAACAAACGAACCAAGAAATGAAAAGAAATATAAGTATATTGGAAGATATTTTCACTGAAACAATCCTTCCAATTACAATTCATGGAATTATTTTTAAAAACATATAAGATACTAACCCTCTCCCTTGAATACAAAGAAAAACAGCCAAAAACAAACTGTCTCATCCCTCACAAGCATCCCCCCCTCCCCTCTGAAAAAACAAGCAAGCAAAAAGAACAACCCCCTAAACATTTAAGTTAAAAAACAACAACCCAAAAAGAGTGCAGAATCAACTTCTGAAGTATTTAGCATCTTCCAAAGCCTGATAAAAAGAACTACTATTTGTATTGGTCGAATGGGAAATCAAACAAAAATACTAAACCAACAGTTGAACAAAAATGAAGTTTTGGGTCAAGTCTACAAGCATTTGAAAGTGATTTTCTCACAAAGTCCATTTTGCGACTTCGTCTGATTATCCCGTGAACGTACGTAACTACTTGCCGCCCCAGACATCAGATATACACTATACAACGACAACACACAGCTGATAGAGACCTGTAAATTCTTTGCCATATCTGTCCCCAAGGTTTTAGGCACCCCGCATAATTTAGCATAATTTGATCATTTTTGGGGTATAATTTCTGATTATTTTCCTTTATCATCCTTTGTTAAAATTAACAGAATCGCATAATTTCACATTTTTGGGCTCAGTTTGCATAATATCAGAATTTTTTCTGCATAAAACCGCGGAGACAGCCATATTGACAGGCCGAAGGGCTAGAACTCAAATGGCCGCTGGATCGGAAAAGTAAGTAAAAGTAAAATAGGTATCCCATGAACAGCTCATGTATTTCTCACCGCCAAACCAACGGAGAACAAGTCTTCGATGTCCTTGTGTCGGTTCCCCAGGTACACTTCCAGGTCACGGCCGCCTATGATGGTGGGAAGCTTTCCTGTTCCGGCATGCTCCGTCTGGGACAAACATCAAACGCAATACAAGATTTCATGGAATCAAAGAGAGGTAGGTTAGTTTTAGTAAGGGTTTTACATCTTAAAGCCTGTTCATTTGCCTTCCTTTCGGTGAAAAAAATACCCATCTATCTTGAATAGAAGTAGAGATATTTGCGATAGAAGGAGGTCAGAGTCGCCTGGTTTCAAAGGTAAAATTAGTGAGAAAATGGCTGCCAAATATTGGTAACTTCCATAGCCTAAGAGTCCTTAAAAACTGAAAATTTACATTTCTTTGTGCCATTAATCAATGTCTTTCACTAAAATCCACACTAAAATGTGTTTAAATCAATGTTTTTCAGAAAAATCCACACAAAAATGAGTTTTTAAATGGATATAAAAGACAATGAGCCAAAAAAAGAAAATTTAAAAAAAATTGTCTATTGGCTAAAAAATGGCGTTTTCTTCGATTTCACTATTTTGACGAGCGCCTGATTTCATCACGCTGCCTCACATATTCATTTCTTAAATTATTGAATGGATAACACTTTTTGTAGGCAAGAATTTTTCAACACAGCTCACATTATTATTTGCCTGTAATAAATCTTTCACTGTAAACCATGTCGTGTTAACTAGAGGAAAAATTCCAAATAAATAAAATGGATTAATTACTATTTAACTTTAATCATGCTGTTATTACCAAAGCATTCTGCTGAAAAGACTCTATCATTTGTGTCACGACATGGTGGAATCAGGCGCTCGTCAATTTTTAGGCATATCGGGTTATTGGAATCTTTCTAAAGCCTGTTTATTTGCCTTCCTTTTAGTGAAAAAAATATTACTCTGTGTTGAATAGAAGTATATATATATTTGCGATTGTAGAAGGTCAGGGTCGCCTGGTTTCATCATAGGTAAAATGGGTGAGAAAAGGCTCGCCAAAATTGGTAACTTCCACAGCCTAGGAGTCCTTGGAAACTGAAAATCTACTCTTTTTTTTGCCTTTCATCAATGTTTTTCAGTAAAATCCACATGTGTTTTTAAATGGATATAAAAGGTGTTGAGCCATAAATAGAAAATTAGAAAAAAATTGCCCATTGCTACAAAAAACCCCGCTGATTTCTTTGATTTTATTATTGTGACGAGCACCTGCTTTCACCGCGATGCCTCACATTTAAGTTACTGACTACATTTCCATCTTCCTTACATTTCAGATTGCAATTTGGTCAAATTTGACCTCCCAATTCGTTGTTACCTGTGGTCTATTTGGTTGTCTAATTTGCAATCTGGCGTGTTGGTCAGTGGCAGGGGGTTAGGCCTAGCCTATTGTATAGTTTGGCTGAAAGTGTGAGAGTGAGTAAAGTGTGAGTCTCAGTTCAGTTGTGGTGCAAGTGTATAAAAGCAGTCTGGGTTACTACAGGTTAGACTTTAGAGGGGAGAGCTGTAGCAAGGCAGAGGAGGCCTGCTGAGAGTTCGGGTGGAGAAAAGGCTAGTTAGAGCCTCGGTTTATTTATGTGTAACGTGTGACATTCCAACGTATCGGGGGCCCATCGCTGGGGAAAGGATCACCATCCGGAGAGAAACAGGTTTGGCTAACCCGTGTAGTAGGCGCAGGCAGACAGAAGGTGTAATATAGTAACCATAATTAAAGGGAATTAATCATGTACTGTTGATGTATTTGTATTACCATTTGAATTCATGAGCTGTAAAACTTGGGCCGTTATCTGAAACTATTTGATCAGGTAACCCATGAGAAGCATTTTTTTTTATGTGACACAAAATGGCTACTAGTTATTCCTCTGTCTAGAAACAATCTACCACTCAATCCACTTCAGAAGGTTAGTCTTAAACATTGTTTTATGTTCAAGTAACAACATTACCTTTCTAAACTTCTTGAAATTTTTCAGTCCGTTGCTGGATGTGCTTGGGGCACCCTTGCTGGAGTTCCTCACGGCCTTGCTCCCGATGGGTCGCGCCAGCAAATTGACCATCTTGACTTCACAGAAGTTTCGGAGAGGATTTCCAGCATTGTCCAGCAGCAACTGAAGAACAACGATCAAACAGCGTGAGAATAAAGAAGTAGGTTGTCACCAAAAACGATTACCTTTGAAATTGGAATGAGGCTTTTAGTTTTTATAAGAGTTTTACGGCACTTGCAACACAATAAGGTCATATAAGAGCAGAAGAATAGGTGTGTTACAAGAGAGTAACAAACACAAAAAAAGAAGGAGGACAGGAGGACAGATGTTTGATAGAAAAGAAGGCGCAAACCACACCTGAGCACCCACCAACCACCCACGGATTACCTTTGAAATTGGAATGAGGCTGCCTAAAAGGCAAGGAGCTCTACGAAGTAAGAAAACCGGTCACATATATACGTAAAAATCAGTTGCACAGCAGGTTGAAGAAACAATACGTGACCTCAGTGCTTTCTTGTCGTAACTCCATTTTTTTAAACAGTGAAAATGTGACATCTTCTTAAGCTCACTCTTTGTTATGAACTGTTTTCACTGTTATTAAAAATGGCTATATGACAAGAAAGCGCTGGGGTCGTGAGAAGTCGATCACCCCGGAGAACTAGCAGGGGACCGCAAAGAAGACGAAGAAGACCAACAAGGACTGACCAAATTTGTCAAAAGTATGTCGTTGTGTTTTTACAACAGGAGGGAAATGAAGGCCGAGTACTTCAACTCGGTAGCAGTGTGAGCCTGCTGGTGTCATGCTTGAATACACAGCAGGCGGCCTTGGTTCGAATCTCCATTGTGGGGTTTCAGACTTGGACCGTTTTGAGTACAGTGGAGTCTGTCTAAAGTGAACACGTTTTAATTGAACAATCGGTTAAAGTGAACGATATTCTGTGGTCCCGAATAAAAAGCTTTTTGCTCAAGCACAAAATACCCCATCTGGTATCATTTTCACCGTCACATTATTATGCCAAGTGACCGCAAAGTGTTAAGGCTCTATGAGGGAAATATATGCAACTGGGGCCCACGGGAACTTGAACTTGTGACGGAAATATATACGCGACTGGGGTTGTAGAGGTTAAGAAAGCAGCTTGAAAAAGAACGGAGAGCCTTTTTTTACTTACCTCTTCTTCCTCCATCTGTGGCTTTACATCGTCCTCCAGACCCTGAACGTCTGAGTGAGTATCAGCCGGAACAGCACCGCTGATACCATCTCTCTCTGAATCTTCCGTGTCCACATCTCGGTTGAAGGAACGCCTCGCTCCATCGCCCGAACAGCTTGGCTCTGGCTTCACTCGGACGCTGGTGGCAACGCTGAGCCAGTCTCCAGGGGCGGCCGACACCTCCGGCTTTATGTCGTCCATCTCTGAATCATTCACCACGGAATCGACCACCACTCTACTTGTATCCCTTCGTTCTCTGCTAATGTCTTCCTCTGAATCTTTCACCTCGTGCAGTTCCGTGTCTCCAGCAGGTGCGGTGGTCGAGTTGCTGTCCTCTTCAGTTTCAAAAACGAATTTCTTCCCCAATCTTTTCACTGGCCTTGCATTCTCTTCCTTCTCCTCCTCCTCATCATCATAGGAAAACATTGCTTTTCTCTTCACCGACCTTCTGTTCCCCCTGTTGACGACATCATCATCATCGGAGCTGTCGCGGCGTACCAACGTCGGCTTGCTGCCGTTCTTTCTCTGCCTGGCAAACACACTGATCGTCTCTTTCTCCTCGGACGAATTTGCTCTCTCTGACACGGCTTTTTCCCGAGACCCCTCGTCCGGAGGAACCTTCGTAGAGTTTCCAGTACTGCTGCTGAACAAATCACCGGACAGCCTGAATCGTAGAGAACTCTTTCCCTCAGACGCACTGACCACACTGTCCCTTACCCCGGACACACTGACCACATTGTCATTCTTGTCCGACTCCGATCCCGCTGGTCGAGACGTTTCCCTCTCCTGAGGTGTTTTACTGTCAACAGGATTAGCAGTAGCCTCGCTGTCTGGTTTCGGACTGACCCTTCTGCTCCTCCCGGCTCTGGCAGATGAGTTCCTAGGAGGAGGGGTCACAGGCTTCTGCTCACTGCCTTCATCCATCTGGCTCTCCAGTCGTGGGACTGATCTGTTCAGCGAAGAGGCTGAGCTCTTTTTGTCAACCCCAGAAGACCTACCAGAGAGGGAAAAGTACACAGAATTTTAGTTGTTTTAGTAGAGGTTTTACGGCGCTTGCAACTGCATAAGGTCATATGAGCGCCAAATACAGAGAATTGAACATTGGCAATGTCATGTTACCCTTCCCTGTAAAGTAATACAAAATTTGGTTTTAAAAGGCCAACTTTCTTTTATGTCATAATCACGCAAATCCTCAAAACAATTATTAAAATACACGTATCAGGAAACTTAGCTTTCATCTGTGAGTTGATAAAGTCACGAAAACATGACATAAGTCAAGAATCATTACTAAGGACAAAAATAATAACAGTACTAGTCAGTTGGTATAATGGCTTGTCAAAAAAAAAAGGGAGGAGAAAAGGTCTCAAGTGGAGAAGAGTATCGAGTTTCATACAGAAAACCCATGTCTTGGGACAGGACAACCATACCATTAGGTTGAAGATTAGAGGTGTTACAAGAGAGTAACAAACATAAAAAAGCAGGAGGGGAGATAAGGATGATAGATGTTTGATAGGAAAGTAGGAGCAAACCACACCAGAGCACCTGCCAACCACCCACTCAGCCGTCTTGAGCATCGACAGAAGTTAAGAATGAAACCAACAACAAACGTCCATCGCTTTTGGTTCACACAAACAACACTGATGCTGCCTATCCTTCTACCCCAGCGAAAGTAGAACTCTTCTGTGTTGAAAAGGCTTTTATTTGGAGATTTAAAAACGAGAAAGAACGGAACTAGAATAGCGGCTCAATTACAGCCCAGATTCATAAGGGCGATCGAAGGCGACCAACTACATCAGACAGATAGTTTTAGTCTTAGTAAGGTTTTTAGTTTTAGTAAGAGTTTTACGGAATTTGCAACACAATAAGGTCATACAAGTGCCGAAGATTAGAGGCGTTACAAGAGAGTAACATACTCAAAAAAGAAGGAGAGATAAGGACGATAGATGTTTGACAGGAAAGAAGGAGCAAACCACACCAGAGCAACCTCTAACCACCCACTAGTAAGGTTTTACGGCGCTCGCAACTTCATAAGGTCATATAAGCAGTAGGTCAGACAGATAGTCAACAAATTAATACAACAACGGATAAAAAAAGTTAACTATTCAGCCCCCATAGCAATGTGCACGAGCTTCCCCCATCAACAGGTTTTACTTTCGCTTTCAGAAAAATATTATTTTGAGCCTTAGCCGCAGCAGCAAATTTAACTTTCGTTTGAGTAAATTTCGAGTCTTAACCCAGAAACACATTTTATTCTCGCTTTCATAAATTTCATAAAGAAACAAGTTGTGTCTTGAGTGTGGCAGACTTGCCAGCTGAAACAAGTTGTGTCTTGAGTGTGGCAGACTTGCCAGCTGAAACAAGTTGTGTCAAGGGAAGAAAGACACAACTTGTTTCTTTCTTCCCTTGGCAAGTCTGTCACACACAAGACACAACTTGTATCTATTTAAATACATATTTTTAAAATAACTGTCCCTTCGTGTATATAGTTAATGTATGGTTGTGAAGGTTTTTCTTTACGTGGTTGAACTGCTTTTTCTTGTTTCTGTGAAATATTTTCTCTTGTGTGAATGATCACGTGATTGGTGTAAGGCGCTCAGAGCTTATACAGGTATGGGACAGAGCGTTATATAAAATGCAATCTATTATTATTATTATTATTATTATTATTATTCCCCTCATACCTGTGCCCTGGTGCAGTGTGGTCCACCTCCATCTGTGTCGTCGTCGTCATCATCTGGGAGTCGCACTGGGTCATCTGTGTGGCCACGGCAGAGTACATGCTCGGAGCTGCATCAACATGGCGGAGCGGGGCGGGGGGGCAGAAAAGAAAAGGCATATGAATGGATCCTTACCTGTTACAAGTTGGTGTTGCAAAAAAGTTTAACGCCCTTTTCTTTAGCTTGTGACTGGTTTTCGTAAGACTTTTTACAGCACTTGCAACACAATAAGGTCATAGAAGTGCCGAAGAATAGAGGTGTTACGAGAGAGTAACATACACAAAAAAGAAGGAGGGGAGATAAAGACGATAGATGTTTGGTAGATGTTTGATAGGAAAGAAAAAGCAAACCACACCAGAGCACCTGCCAACCACCCACAGGTGGGGATGTAGGTGGCGTCAGTGGTCTAAAGGTCACAAGTTTCCTCATTCCTCACTTCCTCCAGGCGGGAATCTGTACCCCACGATAGACGGCGAAAGATCCTGTCAGTTTGTTAGTGTCTGAGCACACGATCTTCTGCTCGTATACTGTGGTTTGTTACTCTATTCATCATCATCAGTGCCTTCCACCCATGGCAGGGTACAGGCCACATACAAGCTCCTTCCATTTATCTCTGTCCTGGGCCATCCTTCCTAGCTCATTCCAAGTGAGCTTCATCTCTCTCATGTCCCTTTCCACACATATCATCCATGTTTCCCGTGGCCTACCCCTCCCTCATGCTCCCTGTGGGTTCCACTCCAGCGACTGTCTTGTGACGTTTCCGCTGAGCTTTCTGAAGATGTGTCCCATCCATCGCCAATTTCTTAGTTCTATTTCTACTTCTATATCCTTTTGTCCTGTCCTTTCCCACAGCTCTTCATTTCTTATTCTATCCTGCCACTTAATTCTTAGGATACTCCTCATATATCCGTTGATGAAAGTCTGGACTTTATTCAGTACCGTCTTTGTTCTCTTCCAAGTTTCGCAGCCGTAGAGGAGCACAGACTTGACGTTGGAGATAGAGAGTCAAATCTTGGTGCGCAGTGAGATATTGCTTGCTTTCCAGACTTTTGATAATTGATTGAATGCTGACCTTGCCTTGGCGGTTCTTGCTTTTACACCTGCCTCAGTTCCACCTTTACCATCGATGACACTTCCAAGGTAGGTAAAGTTGAATCTTGGTGCACAGTGAGATGTTGCTTGCTTTCCAGACTTGTTACTCTATTGTAGCACCTTTAATCTTCAATACTTATATGACCGTACTGTGTAGTAATACTGGTAAGTAAAGTTCTCACTAAAACAAAAAAATGGCGATGGAATATATCTTCAAGCCCATTAGCGAAAGCCACTTACTAATTTCCGAAGTCGGGTTGCAGAACTGCTCAATGTTGCACGTCAGGATTGCCCAACCGACCTCGGGATCCGAAACTAAGCGCAATTTTTTCCTGAAATATCAAAACAAGAAAAGAATTATGAATGAAAGGTGATCCATTTTCACACCAAAAGGTGCTCCTTTTTAACAAAACAAGTTGCATCACCCAAGTGCTACATTTAAGTTCACAATTTAATTTTCATAAAAGTCAGTATTCTAAAAGGATACGATGAGGTATACGATTAAAACCAACCCAAGCACCAGCTGACAAAAATAATCAGCAGGAAACTAAACAATAACTTTAATACTCAAAGAGCAAAAATTTGCACAAAAGGTACAGCTGACATTGTCTAAGATGGTCACCTTAAGTTTAGTTTTAGTAAGGTTTTACGGCGCTCGCAACTGCATAAGGTCATATGAGCGCCTAGGGGTAAATGTCAACAGAGAAGTCCACAACGGGGAATCAGGCTTACTCTGCTCACCTCTCTAGCCTCAAAAGCACAAAGTCTGCTTCGATTTTGAAGGCACCCCAGAAATAGCAGTTTACAAGAGAGTGACAAACAAAAACATAAAAAAGAAGAAGGGGAGATAAGGATGATAGATGTTTGATAGGAAAGAGGAAGCAAAATACACCAGAGCACCCGCCAACCACCAACGCATCAAGCACTGACTTGCTCAAAAAGGAGTAGACCACACACACACACTCACACACATACAAACACACACACTCACTCACAACACAAACCCCCCACCCGACACAAACACACACTCTCTCCACCCACACCACGCATCATCAAGCACTGACTTGCTCAAAAAGGAGTAGACCACACACAAACACTCACACACACACACTCACTCACAACACAACCCCCCCCCCAACACAACCAAAATTTTTTTCATCTGTCTAAAGATATTAGGGTTTTTTTGGTTTAAAAAGGTCAAAAAAAAGAGAAAACTTGGAAAAATAATTGTGGGGCGAGGCAAAGGGGTCCCCCCAAATATCCCTTTTTTCTAAAAAAAAAACACTGTCTCCCCGACCGGAAGTAGCTTCAAGCGCTCTCCCCCCCCCCCCCCCCCCCCCCAACACACACACTCTCTCCACCCACACCACGCATCATCAAGCACTAACTTGCTCAAAAAGGAGTAGACCAGCTGGACAAACTTCTGGCAGGCCGGACTCAGGGTCACCAAACTCTCCCTGTTCACAGCAAAGACCACGGTCCCCGGACCGGTCATTGCCTTCGCGTCTTCCTCCGTCCCGTCCTCCAGTAAGATAGGTTGACCGCCTGCCGTAGACACAGCCAGGTTTGTTTTGTTGAACTGAAAAAGTTTTTAGTTTTAGTAAGCATTTTACGGCACTTGCAAGCAACACAATAAGGTCATATAAGTGCGGAAGACTAGAGGTGTTACAAGAGAGTAACATACACAAAAAAGACGGAGGGGAGATAAGGATGATAGATATTTGAGAGGAAAGAAGAAGCAAACCACACCAGAGCATCCGCCAACACCCCATGAACTGGGGGAAAAAAAAGAACAAAAGTAAAGAAAAGTGTTGTTGGTTTGGAGTTCGCAGTTGGCAAGTAAATGAATCCACAGACCATTTGTGTGTATGCCTCTGTGTATGCAAGAGTGTAGGTGTGTGTGTATGTGTGCGTGTGTGTGTAAGAGAGAGAGAGAGAGACAGAGAGAGAGAGAGAGTGAGAGAAACAGACAGACAGACAGACAGACAGACAGACAGACAGACAGACAAACAGAGAGACAGAGAGACAGAGAGAGAGGGGGAGGGAGGGAAGGAGAAAGAAAGAGTTGGCGAGTGTGCTTATGTATTTATCTAGAGACAGCAAAGTTCTCTTTGAAGAGCTCAGTAAATTGTTTTCTTATCCGAAGTCGGCACAGCATCGTCAATATTCAGGCCAAATTGTCCATAACGGACACCCATTGTCAAGGAAAAAAGTACCGTAGCTTTCTTAGACAGACAGACATCTTGGACCTAAGTCAAACAGATGATTGTCTTTGTGGATGAGATAACACATGGGCTTTCACCCAGAAAACAAGTTAATCAGGATCAAAACTAAAGGAACAAATAGAACAATATTACAGACCGTGAAGTGCATAAAGCTTGCTGCTGAGCAGGAATTTGTTGTGCTATACAAATGCTATTTATTATTATCATTTGTATTAAAGATTAACATTGACTGAATCAAATCCAGTCTTAACACCCCCCCCCCCTCCCACCCCAATGGCAATGCCACTGACTGAAGTGTCTTCTTTAAGCCATTCCCAAAGGGTAGATATGAACATGTTCTTATGCGCAGTAGAATTGTAAATGGACTGATTTATCAATGTCATGCTCATACGGTTCCGGAACAACATAGGGGGAACTGCAGCTTTTTCTTTCCTCATCCTTACTATCGTCATTTTTCCTCTACTTCTTTTGTATGTTTGTCACTCTTTGTGAACGGTTATTTCTGGGGTGCCTTGATATTCGAAGCAGACTTTGTCCTGTTGAAGCTAGAGAGGTGAGCAAAGTAAGCCTGATTCCCGCTATGGACTTCTCTGTTGACATCCACCCCTTGGCGCTCATATGACCTAATGCACTTGCGAGCACTGTAAAAACCTTACTAAAACAAACCAGTCTTACCTGAACAGCAGACAGAAAATAAAATTTTATTCCATTGAGCAGAGTCTCCCGTCGTTCGTCGGGGTGAAAACACACGCCAGGAGGGACTTCCTGATCCACAACTTCCGGCAGATAGCTGCAAAATTCGAACAACACAAAACAGTTTGTTTTTGTTTTGATTTTAGTAAGAGTTTTACGGCACTTGCAACACAATAAGGTCATATAAGTGCCGAAGATTAGAGATGTTACAAGAGAGTAACAAACACAAAAAAAGGAGGAGAGACAAGGACAACAGATGTTTGACAGGAAAGAAGAAGCAAGCTACACCAGAGCACACGCCAGCCACCCACGAGCGCCTGATTCCACTGCGTCGTGACACATATGTAGGAAACACTATGGTTACCTTTCCACATCAGACACAGACAGAAACAGTACACAAAAAAGAAGCAGCATGAACCACAGAAACCAGGCCCTGGCAGTGTGAATAATAAAAACAGAGTCAAGCAAAAATAAGTTCTCCAAATTGAAATACAGGAACGATCTGTATCTGTCCCCGCAGTTTTATCCCCAAAAAATTCTGAAATTATGCAAATTGAGCCCAAAAATGTGAAATTATGCGATTCTGTTAATTTTAACAAAGTACGATAAAGGAAAATAATCAGAAATTAGGCAAAAAATGATCAAATTTTGCTACATTATGCAGGGTGCATAGAACCACGGGCACAGCTGTACAATGTAAATCTGTTTCTTCAACATTATAGGCTTAATTAAATCTTACTCTTTTGGATTCGGCTTCTCTCTGTTCCCCAAATAGAATGAAAGCAGGTCCTCCAGGTAGTCAGGAGTGACGATGTGTCGCTGGTTGTTTAAAGCACAGACCACCTGCAACAACAAGTATTATTCCATCAATGACAAAAACAAGTATTATTCCATCACTGACAAAAACAAGTCAATGACAAAAACAAGTATTACTTGATCAATGACAATAACAAGTATTATTCCATCAATAACAGCAACAAGTATTATTCCATCAATAACAGCAACAAGTATTATTCCATCAATGACAAAAACAAGTATTATTCCATCAATGACAAAAACAAGTATTATTCCATCAATGACAATAACAAGTATTATTCCATCAATAACAGCAACAAGTATTATTCCATCAATAACAGCAACAAGTATTATTCCATCAATGACAAAAACAAGTATTATTCCATCAATGACAAAAACAAGTATTATTCCATCAATGACAATAACAAGTATTATTCCATCAATAACAGCAACAAGTATTATTCCATCAATGACAAAAACAAGTATTATTCCATCAATAACAGAAACAAGTATTATTCCATCAATAACAGCAACAAGTATTATTCCATCAATGACAAAAAACAAACAAATGAAAAAAAAAAGAGTACCATGGAGGAAAATTGGGATGCAATTTCAGTATAAAGGTGTACATAAAACTTCTTTAAGTTAAAAAAAAAATTTTTATTAAGGGAGTTTGGTGTCCCCACTAGATGTTTAGTTTAGTTTAGTTTTAGTACAGGTTTTATGGTGCTTGCAGCTGCATAAGGTCATATGAGGGCCAGAAGATTAGAGGTGTTACAAGAGAGTAACAAACATAAAACAGAAGAAGGAGAGATAAGGCGATAGATGTTTGACAGGAAAGAAGGAGCAAACCACACCAGAGCACCCGCCATCCACCCACCCCCACTAGAAAAGTTGTGTTAATAATCACTGTTAAATTTGTGAGCAAGAGTTGTACATAAAATGTATTTATATGGTATTGTAAAAGCTGAACAGCAGGCCACACCATACTTTGTGGAGTCAAAAAAAATACTCTTTGGCTCAATCTGCCCTAACTCATTTTTTGGGGGGGTTAAGTGTTTTATGCGGCGCTCGCAACTGAATAAGGTCATATGAGCGTGCGGGACACATTAAACATTTTTAGTCGGTTGGGAATTTTGAATTTTGACCGGATGATGATGACGGTGATGATGATGGTGATGATTATTTGTGTTTATCACACCTTTTGGCATTGTGACGTAGATGCCCGTTCTTTGGTTACTATAGCTTGTAGTCGTTAGATCTTACATTATTTGTTTATATGTTCCTGAAAAAGCCCTTAACCGGGCGAAATGTTGAACCTTTACAAAATTAGGAAATTCTACAAGTCTCAACCCATTTTTATTCCTTGCTGATGATGATGATGGTGATGGATATGATGGTGATGATGATGATGACGATGATTATGAAGATGACCATGATGACGATGATTATGAAGATGACCATGATGACGATGATTATGAAGATGACCATGATGACGATGATTATGAAGATGACCATGATGACGATGAAATGGGTTCAATTCTACCTTGATGGTCACATTGATCTTGGGCATGACCAGCAGCTCACAGTTGGTCCTCCAGTCCCTCACCAGGTGGCCACCCAGGGCGCACATTGTTTTCTGCAGAGCTTTCTTGGGACCTTTCTCAATGCATGACGCAGTCACAATGAAGGGTTCATATTTTGCACTGGAAGACAAAAAGTTTTTGTTTAGTTTTAGTAGAGGTTTTACGGCGCTCGCAACTGCATAAGGTCATATGAGCGCCAAGTGGTGAATGTCAACAGAGAAGTCCTTACAGGGAATCGGGCTTACTCTGCACATCTCTTTAGCTTCAACAGCACAAAGTCTGCTTCGACTATCAAGGCACTCCGGAAATAGCGGGTCACAAAAGTGTGACAAACATACAAAAGAAGAAGAGGAAAATGGCAATAGTAAGGATTAGGAAAGAAAAAGCAGCAGTTCCTTATTGTAGTTCAGGCACAGTTATGAGCATGACATCGACGAATCAGCCCATTTACAATTTTACTGTGCAACAGAACATCGTAATGTCCCCCCCTTTGGGAACGGCCTAAAGACACTTCAGTCAGTAGCATTGCCCTGGGGGGTAAGCTGCGTTCTAAGGGCCTGCTGGGGTAACAATAGGTGTAAAGTGCATAGAGCATGCAGTAGCGTATGGACATGTATCGTTTTATGCAGTTATTATTATCATTATTACTACATACTGACACTGCAATAACTCCAGGGTGACCACTCAAATTTCTGTTGTAGTTTGGTACACTTATATAATATTTAATAATAATAATAGATTGCATTTATATAGCCCTCTATCCCATACTAGTGTAAGCTCTGAGCGCTCTACACCATTTGAGGCATACACTTTGGATTTAAAAAGAAAGTAGATTGCCGGTTGTATACTAAACCCACAAGCACCCATCTCTCAAAAAATTATTATTGTCAGGGGTGTGGCGAGAAACATAGTAAGTATCAAAAAAGAATTCTGAGTGGGGATATGAAGAAACAGCATGTTAACACTTTGCGATTACTTTGTGCAATAATGCGACAGTGAAAATTATCCGTTTCGATCACGTAGCGCACGACTGCAACGGACTTCTCGGGATAATTTTCACCGTCGCATTATTGCACCAAGTAATCGCAAAGACCCGAGAAGTCTGTTGCAGTCACTCTCCTGGCTGGGTGACCAGATGGGGCATTTTGCACTGGGTGACGAGACTGGGTATTTTGTACTGCTGGAAGTGTGACTGCAAAGTGTTAACTAACTAGACTTTTCTACACAAAACATGCACTCACATATATACTGATGCAAGGGTTCCGCCAAATCTGATCTCGTCGCCACTTTTGAGAGAGACTTGGCTTGGTCCAGACTTCCTCACCGCCTTCCCATTCACAAAAGTGCCAAACTTTGACACATCTTCAAGCATAAGTTCTGGGACTACGAAAGACTTCATCTGCCAAAAAACAACAACCCCAAAGCCATAGGTAGAAACTTAAGAAAAAGTATGACAAAACATTTTGCAAGTCACAAATAAAAACGTAAGAACTAAATTACAATTAAATCTACTTAAGTGTTTTAAATAACTGACGGCAAATGTCAGCCAACGGTTCAATTACTGTTACTGTTATGACTAAATGAAAAGCATAATAAAAATCCCAATAGCAACAGATTGTGAATTTATATCATACAGCATAAATTCCTGCTCGATAGAAGGGTCTATCCTTTATGCAATTTACCATTACCCTGACAAACCCAGTTTTTTTTTTAGTAGAGGGTATTACGGCGCTCGCAAATGCATAAGGTAATATGAGCACCAAGGGGTGGGTGTCAACAGAGAAGTCCTTACAGGGAATCAGACTTACTCTGCTCACCTCTCTAGCTTCAACAGCACAAAGTCTGCTTCGACTATCAAGGCACCCCGGAAATAGCGGGTCACAAGAGTGTGACAAACATACAAAAGAAGTAGAGGTAAAATGACAATAGTAAGGATATGAAAAAAAAAAGCAGCAGTCCCCTGTTGCAGATCAGGCACAGTTAAGAGCGTGGCATGATGAATCAGCCCATTTACAATTCTACTGTGCTTGAACGAGAAATGTCCCCCCAATTGGGAATGGCCTTAAGACACCACAGTCAGTGGCACTGCCCCGGGGGGTCAGTAATATTTACAACCATTCTGAACTTCCTAGACCAGCACTGTGGTGTAGCAGTGATGAGCTTAGTCATCACGTGCAGGAAAATTGAGTTCGATTCCTCGTTGGAGATAACGTTATTTGAATATCTCAGTCTCAGTCTTTCTGCCAGGATGTTGTGTCCCTTTCAGCTAGGGCTGGCCCTGATAAGCTTGAGGCAAGCCTCCTACATTAACCAAATTGTATTGATGGGGATGCACAAAAAAACCCCCTCAACATAAAACAAAAAAATCAGCTTCCTGAGATACATTCAGCACAAGCTGTCCTTTTACATAAAAAAACCCAACCCTTACTTTTTTTCCTTTTTTTCGGGTGGGGGTGGGTGGGGGGAGCTCTTAAGGTCATAAGAGCGCTATCCTTACTTAACTAACAGTTCTAAAAATGAATTAAACTTTCAAGTACAGGATCCACAATGAAGCTCAACAGTAAAGCCCAGAAAGTAATGCCATGCAATATGTGTGGCACCGTGGCCGAATTGGACGCTCGTCAAAAGAATAAAGTCCGAGAAATCTGCATTTTTCGGCCAGTTTATAAATATTTTTCAAATTTTTGTTTTTCGGCTCAACACCTTGTATGTCCATTAAAAAACACTTTTATGGGTGGATTTTTATGGAAAAACGTTGATTAATGGCACAACAAATTTAAATTTGCAGTTTCTAAGGACTCTTCAGCTATGAAAATCACCTAACTTTGGCAGCCATTTTCTCATCAATTTTAGCTCTGGAACCAGGCGACCCCCCACCTCCTTCAATCACAAATATCTCGACTTCTATTCAAGATAAATGGAAATTTTTTTCATCGAAAGCAAGTCCAACGATCAATCTTTTAGATGGTACCAATAACTGAATAACTCTATATGCCCAAGAAGTGAGGAGTGCCCGATTCCACCGCGTCATGACACCAATATTTCCTCTCACCACATTCGACTCCTGGTGAAAAAGTGAAAGTTCCGCCTGCGTCCGACTGACGGAAGGATCCTGTACGACAATGTCGCAGCTCTGCCTCCCAATGACATATTTCTTGCCACCAACCAGGACATGCTTTTTTTCTGTGAATCAAAGATAGAAAGATATAAGATAAAGCGGTCGCCTTTTAAAGCAGAAGGGGGCTATCCCGAAAAATGCTGTTTTGAGAAAATCGAAGGTAAAGTTTTTGCCCCTTGTTCAGTTTCTTTAAAAGACCAGGAGAATTTTCTCCAATAACCAAACTTTTTTTTTTATACAAACATACACACCAATGAAACCAAGCTTCTCCTACAGGTAGGGCAATGTCCACTTTTGGTGTTGGTCAAGATTTCTGGAAACCCCCGAAATCTGGGTTAGCTCGCTTGTCCTTAAAAGCGACCAAATAAGACAATACTCAATAGTCTCTGAGGGAAATTTTTCTGTGTTTTTACAGGAATGGCAAAAAAAACATATAGAATCTAAATTGTATAAGATTACTTTAATTAACGAATGTATGAAGAGAAGAACAACAGCTGACAAAAATGCAGTATGTCACATCAGATGCATATCTTAAACTACACGAAGGGGGCTTTTGTGGCCTGGAGGTTAAGGTGTTGGTCTCTCATTCAAAGGTAATCCCGGTAGCCAACGAAAAATTTTCTTCTCTAAAATTGTCTCCTTTCCCCTCCAACCTGCTCTCTAGCAATGCTCTGTCGTCTGCTTTCGTCTCCTCTTTCTGCCCCCACCCCCTAACCTCCTTTGCCCCCTCCTCTGGGCTCCTGACTCTTTCTGCAGCCTTTCTACTGCTACTCCTTGGCTCCTTCGTACTGCTGTCTTTCAGCCACACCCCTGATCTTCTGATAGGAAAGATCTACACCTAGCCTTCTCGGACAAGGGCGAAAAATCTCGGAGGGCCCGTGTGCAAGTTGCGCACGTTAAAAATCCCTTGGTGGTCTAAAATCGATAAGAGTAGGCTTCGACCGCCACACGGGCAAAATTCAAAACTTTCTACCAACTGAAAATATTAGGTGTGCTCATATGACCTTATGCATATGTGAGCGCCGTAAAACACGTACCAAAAAACCCCAAAAAAACTGCAGGAAGAAATGTATCACAGATTTTGAAAAGTATTTAGATATTCGAAAATCATGTGCATCTAGATAATAAACTAAAAGAAATACACATTAAAGTTCAATTCTACCCAGGAGACAGGGTATAATTCTTTTAAAGCTAACTAATTATAAAACAGACGACACAAACCATACAGGGGACTGAACTTTCAACTCTCTTTACCTCCTTAAATTCCCAAAAAGAAATGCAGTGAAACTCGGATATATAAAGCGAAGTTGTTGGACCTGAACTTTAATTTCGTTGAATCCGAGTTTAGCTTATTGCAATATCAGCAATCAGTTGCATTGAAATGTAGAGCCTACCATATATAATACGGCAACATTCGTTTCTATTGATCAGAGCCCAATTCATTGAGTAGATCTAGACTATGCACTAAGCTAGCCTTTCAATACTTTTATAGTTCAGTAGCCGTTGGGGGGAGAGGGGGTGGAATTTGACTGTGGTATCTAAGATGAGGATGTTCAATGCCTGAAATGTTTCTTGTGCCCACGCCATCCCCCTTGTGACTTTGTGCTGTTGAGGCTAAAGAGGTGAGCTGAGTAAGCCTGATTTTCCCCATCTGGACTTCTCTGTTGACATCCACCCCTTGGCGCTCATTTATAACAGTTGCGAGCGCCGAAAAACCTTACTAAAACTAAAAAAACATCCCCTCCATACATATACACTAACAGGCATCCACGTTCTGTCGTCCTTCCAATCTCTCCCAACACAGGCATAAATACATTAACCCTGTCCGTACGACGTGAGGAACTCTGTGCCACCACTTTCCAAAGAGGAAATGTACTCGTTAATCTGATCCATATGCTTTGCATAAATAGCAGTCTGTCAAAATGATTTTTTGAGAAATGCTGAAAGTGTCAAAGAGATCTTCGAACTAGAAGTATTCTAAAAGGTGAAGAATACAAACCCGGGGGTGCAAAATGACCCCAGGGCGGACGGATAGGGTTAAGACATGTCTTGTCTTACGAACATGTCAACAACGCATATATATATGTGTTGGTGTGAAATATGGCTTCAAATTGGTTGCATAAGATGAATGCAATTGGCTAGACTAAACTTGCAATGATCCACAGTGCAGGTGCAATCAATGATCTCTTGAAAGAGAGAAAAATAATTTGTTTCAGGAGAAAAAAGCATGAAGCCACAATCAGTGGGGACTGTCTGCACCGCAAGTGACTTTGTTAAATCCGAGTTTGCTCATTTATGTGTTCGTTGAATCCAATTTGTTATTTTGATTTTAATGAATACCCCCAAAAAAAGGTGAAACCGTCACCTTTACTTGAATCCAAGTTAAAAAATGATCAGTTTCACCACTGTATACATTAACAAGCACACTCACTTCCACATTCTAGTTTCTATCCCACAGAACCACTTACAGAAAGTATAGCAGGTATTTATCTTATGAGAGAACTTAGCAAAAACAAGTTCAGTTGAATTTTAGCAAAAAGCGCATGACATGAGTGGGTGGGTGGGTGGGGGGTAAAGGACGGACGTTGCAGAGTTTTCAGAGGTCTTCTACTAGCCCAAATAATATTAAGGCCGGCTCTATTTCTCCGAACGTTCAGGAAAATAAACTTGAACTTTATTTATCTGAGCGGTTTCCGTTCTCGAGATTTGTTGATAATAATTGTGAATGGAGTGGCCCGTGTATGTGTGTGTATGCATGTGCATTGTGCGTGAGGTGTGAACGGGGAGTGGGGGGCGGGGGTGTGTGCGCGGAGGAACTTTTTTTTACATATAAATAAAGGACTTTAGTTCTTGCTGGGTGACTAAATGCAAAATAGGTTATTGCCAAATTCGATCAGTCTTGTTTTCTCGCAGTACATTTCGAAGGTATTTTCAAATGAAATATAGTTCGGGAACGTTGCCCCAACAACAACTTAAGTATCTGAATATTCAGACATTCAAATTATATCTCCAGCTCTAGAAATTGAATTCGATGCAAAAAATGCTTCTTCCCAGTCCTTGCTGAATGGCAGAATGAAAGATGACGGCGAAATTTCGCAAATAACAAAAAAATCTCGAAAACGGAAACCGTTCGGAGAAATAGAGTCTAAGTTTATTTTCCCGAACGTTCGGAGAAATAGTCACTTTGTAATATTAATAATTCACATGTCTGACAACAGAGACCAATGCATCCTCAGAGAAGATAGATATATCTTTCATAAAAAAAAAAGAATGAAAGACATGTTGTGGCTTCTGCTATAGCCAATGAGACCGATTCAGGAAGAGAAAGGTTTGTCACACTTTGCACATTTTCAATAGCTTCATTTCCACTTGTGAGTTACGCAGCTTAGGCGGGCTTCTCTCTAAGTTGCTGTTTCTTATCACATGAAGCAGCTTTTGCAAGGATCACAATACCTGATCAGCAAATTATGGGTCTGTTATTAGTTTTTTTCCCCACACCACCCCTGTTGAGCTGTGCTGTATGCAAGGGAGGAAGCCATCAACATGAGTATGCACGGCCCGCCTTGGCCTTGAGACTTGAGACAAAATTTGTCTTTTGACGAATAAATAGGCAGTACAGCCTGGAAGTTTTTTAAGACTACACCAATAACTAAGCAGAGGCTAGATTCAATTCATAATTCATGATATCTGGGGGGAAAATGGTTCACAACATTACATGCAGGGGCCTAGAGGCTAAACTAGTTTTAAAGTTAGCCTGACCAAGTGGCCTAGAGGTCTAGATTTGTAGTCTACTATAAACTATAATACTGAATGAATACGTCATAATATAAGAAAAAAACAGCTCTCTCACCATGAAAATCACGTCAAGAAATTGAATAAGTGTCTGCATACCATCAGGCAGTCCCAAATATGAACAACTTCATACCGTATAACCTCGACAAAGACAGAAAGAAACAATGTCTACTTTCACTTTCAACATCAGTTGTATCAGAAGAGAAGAATGAGCAAGAAATGAACTTTTACGATGTAGTCGGTGGTGAATTGTTATGATGGCAACTATTTCATTATAAATGAAAGAAAAAACATAAATACCTGGTTCTGTTTTGCTGACTAACACCCACATTTTCCATCTATTTTGTCACTAATCATGGACCTCATGCGGAAGCTGTTTTCCTTCACCTGACTTCGTTGAAACCACTGCACAATGCACACAGGGTAGGCTGAAGGCTGGTCCGAACATTCGCAATATAAAATCAACACGAATAAGATGGGCTGAAGAGGACAGTATCGATATTATATTCAATTGCAAGGAGTCGCACTCTGCAAAATTTGCTTGGTTGCTCGGGTCTATAAAAAACAAAACAAACACCATGTTTTGTTTCTTTCAGTATTTTGTTTTGCATTTTATATATAGATCTAGATCTAGATCTATCTCTGCTAAAAGTAATAATATTTCTTAAAAAATACTTGGTAACGAAAACTTCCAAAATGTCTCATCATGCCACCATCCCCAACACAGGAACGGTGTATTCTGTGATCAGCTGATATAAACCTAGCTATAGGAGCTTATCGACTCCCTGGCACCCTCCCCCCTAAAAACAACAGCAACAAAAAATATTTTTTAAAAACGAAAAAAGAAAAAAAAAAAGAAATACGCTGCCCCCCCCCCCCCAACCCCAAACAATACGTGGTGTCAATAGAGTGCCATGCTTTTAAAAATACATAGTGAAACTTCCATTCCGAGTCTTTTAGTTTTAGTAAGAGTTTTACGGCACTTTGCAACACAATACGGTCATATAAGTGCCGAAGATTAGAGAGTAACAAACACAAAAAAGCAGGAGGAGAGATGAGGATATTGAAAACATATCTACTGAATCCTGGGGTAATGAAAACAAAATGTAAGTTGGGGGGGGGGGGGGGGGGTATTTATGCGTTCTGAAGTTTCTCTGTGGACCAAAGTGGAATCATCGGAAGGGTTCATGATCTAGCAACGATCTCGAATACGCCTACAATCGTTAGGCCTACACATTTGTATTTGCCGTGAACAAATATCTTCACAATACATATATATATATATATATATATATATATAAGATGTATCAAGCAGAAAAAACCCAACTTATATAAAGCGGTGGCAGCGCTTTTGATTTGACTGTCAACTAGATCTATATATATATATTGTCTTATCGGTGATCGATATATAATAGTCGAGAGTAGACAATCAATAATAAACCAGACATCAGCAGATGGTTCTCGTGGCTATGGAGGTTTAGGTGTTGGCCTCTCATTCAAATGTGCCGGGTTCGAATCCGGGTATAGCAACGGTAAAACTTTCTTCTCTAAAATTGTCTCCTTTCACCTCCTTTCCTGCTCTCTTGCAATGTACGTTCTGTCGTCTGCTTTGTCTCCACTTTCTGCCCCCCCCCTCCTTTGCCCCCGCTGCTCTTTCTTCAGCCTAGCTAGCTTCTGCTTCTTATCTTGGCTCCAATTCTTACTGCTGTCTTTCAGCCACACCTCTGTTTTTCTGGTAGAAATTAAGATCTACACCTATTCATTTCAGACATTTGCGAAAAATCCCTGGGTATCCTGTAAGCAAGTTGCGCACGCTAAAGATCCCTTATTGATGGTCTTAAATCGATTATAAGAGTATAGGCTTCAGCCGCCACCCGGCAAAATTCAAAATTTTTTACCAATTGAAAATGTTAAGTGTGTCCCGCGCGCCCTTATGACTTTATGCAGTTTGAGTTGCGAGTGCTGTATAACTTTTACACCCCCCCAACAACAAACAAAAAAAAAACACCAAAAAAACGACATCGTGGTAGACCGTCATCTAAACCGGCACAAAGCCTATAATGTACATCTATGATCCTCACGAAAATATGAGCTTGGTATCGATATCTTATTGCTAGTATCGTCTTATACTCGTGTAAAATCTTTGACTTTTTTTTCTCCGTTGATGTTCTGGGAACGGAATTGTTTTTAATTGATTTTATATAAAAGTAGAAGCGGTCAAAGAAAGAAACGAGTTATATTTTCTCACAGTTCTCCGTTACGCTTCAAGCAGTCAGCTGGTCATTCTGCGAGTCGTTGTTGTCAAGGACTTACAATGTTCTGACCTTTGCTCTTTTACCTTGAGGTGAGCTGAATTAATGCATACTTAAATGTGTAAGACAGTGTTTCGTTCTCTGAATACAAGTTGGGTGTACATTCACGCGCAATATAATTACTAATCTAGATCTATCTCTCTCACTGTCCGTCACACAACTACTTTAGACTTTAGACTTCTCTTCGTGATTGACACGAGAGAAACTCGTACCCACCATTCCCCATCCCCGACCGGTTTATTTTTCTAACTGAAAGTTCATTAACTCAGGCAATGGTTTCTAACTTAAAACCGGGTCTGTGTTCCACACATCAGACGTATGAAAGGAGAAGGAAGCCATTCTTGGAGTGGTATTTTGTTTACTATTGTACTATTGTACCTTTACTATATACTATCTAGATTCTAAATGCCTTTAATACTTTTTTCTTCCGCTTACCGGTTGGTGTCGCGGGGAGACACAGGCGTCTGTCTGCAACAAGGCGCCTGTTGTAGGGACATCCCGTGAGCTCTGAGGGTGTCTGCCGCAGATTCACTCCATCATCGGCTTGGTCTTCCTCTGGCTCTCCATCCAGAATATTTAATGTATGCTCTCAGAGCTGGATGGTTGTATCTCTCAGACTCAGAGCGGACTCCTTACCAAGAGGCCACCGAGGCGGTTAATGTGTGTGTATGTGTTGGAGTGTTTGTTGTGTGTATGTGTGTGTGTGTGTGATCTTTTGTGTTTATGGTGCTATTGCAAACATATGATCAAGTAGCGTAAACAAGGCACGTAAGCTGACTCATGGCCTTCCGAACTCGTGGTTTAGGTGAAATAGGGGTAATTCAGATCTCTGTTTCTTTGCTCTTTTGCTATAAAACACCAAATGCTGAACACTTTGAAAAAGTTCAGGTTTTTTTCGTTATAATAGTGTAAGTTGTTGATATGTCCGGGTATTTGCAGCTGGAAAATTGCTTGGGAAAGGGAAGCCCCTCGCGGTCGGAATTCGAGGTCCCCTGTTCAAAATTGACACCCATGCATCCGAATGCAAAACTACTGGGAGCACTTGGTATACTACAGTATTGAGCTGGCTCGCTCGCCGCGAAGGCTGGTGCGATGTTGGCCGAGACAACGCTCTGTGTTTTTATTGAAATAAAGACAGATCATCGTGTTTGAGGTATAAAATACAGATTTAAAGTAATAATCGCAATAAAATTTAGTGTCTGGTACCTGGTATAATGCTAATATTTTGTTGTATTTGCTGTGAAGTCCATTCTCGTTAAAATTTTGTTTGACCCATAAGTTTTTTTCTGTGTTAATGAATAGTTTTCTACCTTTGTATGTTACCTTGTAGTGGCATAGCCAAGATAACTGCTTAATTTCAAGTGTCTATCTCAATTCTAAGAACCCCATTGCTATGGAAACATGTTGCTCAACTTCGGAGGCCATTTTCTCCTTTTCGTGTTTCCTCACCTCGCACAATTAAAAGTTCTGTATTTTCGTCAAATATGGTCATATTTTCTTCATTCTTGTTTTATATTGAAGAGAAAGGGTGATAGTGTTTGAAAAATTTATAATGTTGACTCAGTTTTGAAATTTCCTTCATATGACTGATATTGACCGGCAGGGACACATATATAGGCTTATCAGCCGTGTCCCATAAAATAATTAATATTATTTTATACTACAGTAATTATCATTTGTGTTGAAATGTTTCTACTAATAACTAAGAAATTTCCGAGTTCTTTGCTGTTTTTGAAAATTTCTAGCGTACTGATTTTTGTTTTTGTTTTATTTTTGTATACTTTCAGGCATTGAGAGGGGAATGAGCAGCAGCAGGAATAAGCATGGTGAAGTGTGCTAAGTCTGCACCCAAGGTCCTTGTCTGGCTTCTACATGGGACAAGATGGATCTTGTATCCTTCTTATTTCACGTTCAATGCATTGATCTCTTTGTTTGTAGTAACTTTTCAAGAAGAGGATAAATTGCTTCGAATATTCCTCAGAAAGCTCATCTTAGGACCTGTGTACGCTGGTCTTTTCACCCTGTTTCTTCCTTTTCTAATTTTTTTCCTGCCTCTCCGATGTTTCCTGGTGGTGCTAAGGAACAAAACGCCTTACGTCTTGTCTGTGAGGCACACAGCGCTCACAGACCGCGAGACTCAGTACCAAAATGAGCTCATCGACAGCAACGACTACAAGTTTGGAGCAGGCACAGCCAACCTGTGTATAATGTCTGAATTCCTGTCCCGAATGAACCATTTAACGGATGTTGATGAGCGCAGTCAGAAGATGGGCGAAAGGATCGTGGTGAGTCAGCTGTTCAATGATGAGTGGAACAAGAAGGTTCTGAAAAGGAAGGTCGTGTCTCAGAATTCTCCGGGGATACTTTCACCAGCAGATAGCGGTGTTGTTAACAAAGTAAACAATAATGTTCACCGAATACTCAAGAAATGGACTGTTGAAGGTGACATTACCACGAAGTTTAACCGGCTAGATTTTATTATGGTTCAAGAAGCCTGGTCTAGCTACCACAACAAGATGCTGATTGATGAGCTGCACAAAGTGTTCCCGTATGTCGTTCACGATGTTTCTGTCCATGGCTTTGGGGTCAACCGATTCTGCCTCTCCAGCGGTCTGTTGATTGCCAGCCGCCATCCTATCATAGAGATTGATTTCAAACCCTTCAAGAATTTCATTCTTCATGGAAAACTTCTGTCGAAGGGCTTGTTGGGTGTAAAGGTAAGAAAACATTTTTTGGGGTGTATTTTTGTCTTTTTGAGAAAAAAACCTCTTGTTCTAAGTTTAAACTTTTGAAAGTTTACCGTCGATCCGTCTTAGACGACCATGCTTTGTGGAGTGGAAAAAGAGGTGGTCCTTTTTTTTTTTTTGGTAAGTGTTTCATGGCGCTCTGTAGAAAATTTTGAATTTTGCTCGGATGGCAGCCGAAGCCTACTCTTATCGATTTTAGACTACCAAGGGATCTTTAACGTGCGCAGCTTGCACAGGGGAGCTCTGAGATTTTGCCCTTGTCCGATAAGGCTAGGTGTAGATCTTTCCTACCATAAGATCAGGAGTGTAGCTGGAAGGCAGCTTTAAGAAGGGACCAAGGAGTAGCAGTTGAAAGGCTACAGAAAGAGTCAAGAGCCCAGAGGGGGTGAGGGCAGAAAGTGGAGACGAAAGCAGACGACAGAACATTGCTAGAGAGCAGGAGAGGAGGTGAAAGGAGACAATTTTAGAGAATAAATTTTTTTGAATGGCTACCCGGATTCGAACCCGGGACCTTTGGATGAGAGGTGAACACCTGAACCTCTAGGCCATGAGAGCACCCGGTGGTCCTCTTGGACAGCGTCATTTCAATATAGAAAAAACAAACAAACTAAAAAACACAAGGAGGGAAGTGGTTGTTTGAATAGGTGATTGTCTTGGACAGGTGGTTAGGCTTGCTAAAGTCTAAAGCAGGTTCCACTGTACTTCTGTAGGATCCTTTGTCTGTCTTTACTATTCTTATGAAATTATATAATATACATGTAGTCTGCAGTATGAGAGCGAGAGGACTATATTATGAATTTCTCATTGTTGTTGTATTTTGTTAATTTTACTTTGTATTTTTTGGCTTTTTCAAATGCCCTCTTTTCAGTTTTTTTGTCTTTCCTGCTATTTTGCTCTCTCTCTCTCTCTCTCTCTCTCTCTCTCTCTCTCTCTC